GCGGCAGGAAGATCGAGACTCGAAAGAGCCCCAAACGAAACAATTCGCGCAATAATGAGAGTGAGTCACACAATAACGGACGAAATAAGAACAAAAAAGGTGATACGGACATGTCCAAAGGATGTAGGAGCAGCAACTCCCTATACAAGTACTCACTTGGATGACAGGGAGAAAGAAGAGAGGAAGACCACGAACGAATTGGAGAGAGGTCATTGATAGCGAGATGAGAGAGAAAGAACTGGAAGAAGACCTGTGGAATGAAAAGGAAGAATGGAGATTGAGAATCAGACGACATCAGACTGAAACTGTTTCAGTCAAGCTCTGTCAACAGGATAATTTACGAAACGTCAGCAAGTTCGACTCAGCAAAAAACCGACGCAGGGAGAAATCCAGAAGTTTTGTAAAAAGTATAAAACAACTTCTTAGATATCCCAATTTATTTCTGTGTTTTCTTTCTCTTCTTTCTCCAAACTCTTCTCTTGTACACTTATCATCCCACCTTTTGTGGTCACTACTTTTACCACCATAATATCTCCTCTTTCTTTCAGTACTACACACTGTCTCAAAATGCAATCGAAATGATTTTATTAAAAAAATCAAGAGTCATTGATTTTTTTTACAATCATTATTTTTTTATTTTGATTTTTTTAATTCATAAGTATATATATTTCCCTTCCCACTCAGTATTCGTCAAAATGCGCTTTTCGCAAGAAAATTTCTGTCGCGACTCATTTTTTTCCTGTTCTATAAATTGTCGTTGAATACGCCTCGAGTATTTAGTTGGTGGCATGTCAAAGAAAGGGAACAAATGGAAAATAGAGTTTTAAGTGGAAACATTGAAATGACTGGAAGAAAAAAAAAGCATATTACATTAAAACAACAGATCCAAATAAATCTGGATGTAGAGCGATTTGTAAAATCTGCAAGAAAGAAATTCTAGGGATAGTTCAAAAACTTAAAACACACCATGATGTTTGTGGCAATAAGCAGCAAGAAACGAATACAGGTAGCTAAATAATATTTTCTTTTGTTATTACTTATTTCATTTTTACTTAACTTTCCATATCATAAAAGGTACGATATTTACAAAAACGCCATTTATTATTTCTTACCAAAATTTGAATTCATGCAGATTTTATTCATGCTTATAATTTTTAGATACTTATTTTTTTTGATATTTCATTCGTATTCATACGATTCGGCAGATTTGTCAAGCTTTTGGAAATTTCCGCAAAGTCCAAACCTCTTCTTTGTTTGGATTTTGAGCTCCCAACAAAGAAAAAGAAAGACACTGAAAACCATTGACAAACAAATAGCAAAGGCAATTTTGCATCTAATTCGCAACATTGAAAACACTGAGGTAAAAAAGGGCACTTATTAAGACCTAGTTTTACGCCGCAAGCATTCTAGATGACGTCTATGAGCAGGAAAAGGCAAAATGTTTTTCTGTTCTGTAAGGACAATGTCTGAAGATGTCCATTGACGGGTGATCAAACCTCCACAATGGTAATAAATTTGAATGCCCGCAGTCGATGATTTAATAAAAATATGTCTTCGGATGAAATAATAAAAAACGTCAATGACAAAAGGATGAGTCAGAAATTGCTAAACAGCTAAAAATAATAAAGCAGTTCCTGTGTGCATCTGACGATAGAAAAAGAGGGGAAAATTAGTATTTTTGTTCAAACAATTCAACGAAAACGGAGAAGCAAAAAGTGCATATTATTATTAATCTTTTAAAGAGTTGCGTTTTACTTTTTATTTGTGATAATATTGTGGTGCCTTTTGTGTTAGTTTCAATATAAAACGATTTTAAAAAATAGTAATTTCATTTAAATACAATCTAAGTATGTAAGTATTAACACTATATATTTGATGGCTTCCTTGCCTTCTTCCTTTTTCTTGATAATACTTAATTTAGCTCTTCATTTTCATACCTACAGCTCACAATAAACTTTATTTACTTCATTCTTTGCCGGCTCAGATACTTCGGAGACAATGTTTCAGTGGTGATTTTAAAATAATAAATATATATAATATATAAATACAAAGTGTAACTAGTTCATTAATCCATATGCCAGTTTCCTCACAATCTTTCCAGCGCCACACTTGTGTACCCATTTCTCTCTCTGTGTATCGTTTCATCCAATACTTTATATCCAAGAGTTTCTCTTTCAACTTCTTACGCCTTTTCTATTTCGTCTTGGTCTTGGTCATCATCAGTGTTTTAAATTTCTCTTCCCTATTCCTAGCTCCAATAGCGTTTGGATGGCTTATCTTTGTCACTGATGAGTTATGAAATGGTAGCAAGGGCTACCAAATATCTATAACTTCCGCATATTATTAAATACGACGAAAACTGATAACGCTTGCACATAATGAGGAAAGAATGGAAGAGTTTAAGGAACCATAAAAACGTCCATTTACGTTTAATTAGACAAGAAACGGAAATTTATCTATCTACTTACATCTTTTGCTCTCCTGAGAGGAATTTTTAACCCAACCTTCTGACATATGATACGTATTTACTGTTTTCTGACGTCATTAACGAAATATAACTTTCATCTGCTGCTTTTATAAGAAATGCGTAAATCGGGTTAATCAAGTTTAGATTTCTGCTATGTCGGTCTTAATTGTGGAACATACCTTCAAGTATAAATAAAGCAATGCACTTCATAAATCCTCAGAATACAAAACCAGGCGGATACACCCTGATTTATTTTAAGGATCGACTTGATTAACTGTTCATCGCCCAAAACAAGGGAGGGCCGCTTTTACATTAATGATATCCGATTTAAAATTCATTAAATTGCGTTTACCCCTTCGGAATTAGTCTTTAATGAGGAGGAGACGTCGACAGTGTTGCCAATTCCTACGCGTTCGAAAACATACTTCCGTTAACGCTTCCGCTTTTCACATTCTACTTCGTGCATTAAAACTAATTGCAAAGCAATTTCCACCCCGCTGACGGGAATTACTAAATTTTTATTTGAATCTGACAATTTTTTTAAGTAGATGGTGAACTTGACAACGCGGTACGGGCACGATTTCGCCGCGGTGTCGTTTTTCAGCTCGTTAAGACCAAATTAAATTTATTTGGACGACAAACACATGTGCAGCGCATAGGAAAAAAACCTTGTTCCCGTTCCTATATCTCCCGTTTCAACCCTCGACGAGACACAGACGTGATCTACGCGCCATTCTCGGGATCACGGGGTTTAAACAGGAACCGAAAGGGGAGATACAGGAACGTTTCTAATTAAAATTGCTGTTGAAGGTCGGATTTTGCACTTTTTTTAGTGCGTTTCCACTTTTTTTCTAATTTCCGTAATTTATTGGGTCAAAAATATGGAAACATCCTTTCAACTTACAAAAATTACTAATTGTTAATTTTTCAGAATAAATTTATGAATGAAATAATGAATTAAAATAATTAAATCCGAATAAGAAATTGGGAGTAATTAAAAAAAAATCTTGCATTTCATTGATGATTTTAATTATTTTTGGAGTTCCGTATATAATTTGTATATAATTTGATTCATAATTCTGTATATGGAAAATTTACCATAAAACAAACAAATACTACAAAAATAAACTGAAACAAAAACACAAATAATCTTTTTAGTTTTGGTTAGTTTTGATTAGTTTTGGTTAGCCATATGAAAGCAGTATGGTCTGTTCATAGATATAAGAAAGTGACCAATTGCTTTTTGACAAAGGCCAATTAATTACTTGGATGAAACCTAGTTCTATACTTATAATACCCCGGAAAATGGTTGGGTTGACTCAATTGATAAGTGTGAAACAAACGCGCCATCACAAAGAGGTAAAAGAATAACTACTTTGCATTCTGACTCTAAAGATGGATTCCAAATGGACTTCCTCTGTCTGCCAAAAATATTAAAAATTCTTCTCTGGATTACAATGAAGACACCACCGCTGATTTATTTGAAAGTTGGTTTAAAAACAAACTAGTTCCAAACATTCCTCCTAATAGCGTAATTGTAATGGACAATGCAAGTTATCACAGTAGACAGTTGACTAAAACCCCTTCCTCAGTTGACACAAAAGCAACAATCCAAAACTACATTACAATAACGACATTTATTTTCACGAAGATTATACCAAAAAACAATTAATTGAGGTTCTACAAAGCTTGAACCTACAAAAGGAATACGTCTGTGATAATTATGCAAAAAATCTAGGGCATACAGTTTTAAGGCTTCCATCTTATCACTGTATCTCATTGAACATGTTTGACACCAACTGAAATCTGAGATATTACAAACAATATATATTGCAAATAATATAGAACAAATAATAATTAGAACAGGCGATGATAGCGATAGTGATACTGATATATTATGTGAATAATTTGAAATCATTTAAGTAGGTAATAAAAATAGTTTGTAATTTTATTTTAGATTTAAACATAAATACATACGTAAATAAATAAAATTCTTTTATTTATTTGCCAGTTTTCAAGAAAACACAAACAGAAAAGTTGTAGGGTTCAAAATGAGTTTTAGCATAATTCACTTGTTTTATCTACACAGTGTGACATTTTAAACTAATCAACGTTAAAATTTTAATCAAAACAGCCTCTATTTAATAATTTAAAAAAGTATCAAAATAAATTGTGCTCTATTTAAAATTTTATGGTTGATAGTAGCTGGAAATAAAACGACTTTTACATAACTTTTTTTGGTAAAATGGTGAATTATTTTCATTTCATTTTCACCACAGTTAACTAAATCTGAATATTTTGTTTTTTATTATTTTACTACTTTTCCGGTCAAAAATTCTTCCGAAATTAGGGCCATCACAACTAAACGTCATCGTTCAATGCGAAATCCCTACGTTCCTAATCTGGCTCTCCCGCCAAAATGGCGAGAGTCATCCACGCAAAATTGGTCTTTCATAGTCCGATAGTCAGAGGAGGGGGGAGACGAGCGTCCCCTCGGGCTCCGCTGCTACCTGACTTACTCGGACCACAGCGCACCGCCGTAACATCGCATTAAGTGCATTTAGATTGCACTCTGTGGAAAAAGTAGTGGGAGGCGCGACCCGACAACGTCGAGGATCTTCTTCGCGTCGCTGTTCACCACTCAGTCACTCAACGGCTGTCGTTTCCGTAGTGCGGTTGCGTTCCTCCACTTCCGGTATTACGTAGGCGATTTGTTGATATAGTCGTATTGTTTAGTCGTCTTGGTTACCGGCCGTACAGTTGAATCGATAGACCGCAAGTTCCTCTGTGTTTGTGACTGCCGGCAGAACATGATTTCGGAATTTTGATACGTTTCTGGACTAACAAATTAACTTTATCGCTCGCGAAGCAGACGAAGATTGAAGACATGGCGGGAATTGCGCTGAGTTTGATAGCTGTCGTGGTAACCGTCCACGGATTGCAACTGAACGAGGGCGCCTACGAAGATTTGGTGATCAAAATCGCAGACAACGTGCCGGACAAGGATTGCAGGATCGTCCTGGAGAATCTAGAGGTAAGTGTCCAATTCGTCCTTGGTGCCAATATTAGCACCTCTCTGTACATCGAACGCAGACCAAATCAGTGGAAAAATCATCGAGTTCGCTAGCCACCAGCTACCGTGAAGCATGACGTTTAATAACAATAAACCAAGGTTCCCCCTTTTCCTGTCCACTACTTCCACCTCGTACAGGGTGCGTCCGAATCCGGACTCACCTTCGTTTGCTTCGTTAATTTCCCGTTGGTCGCGAAGATAACGTAGGAAATAGACCGACGTTGAAGTTAATAGACACGATGATAAAAACTCGTTTAAAAGTTCATTGCCTTTTGTTATCTACCCGATTGTGTGTCCGCTTTTGTTATCAGACATTGCTAAGGCGCACTATGCTTTAGTATACAAACATGTAAAGATGTATGGGATCTTCTTAAGCACCTAGTCTCACGTAGTGATGACATCGTCCTACTTTGCAAGTTCTATGTTTGTCACCAAATGGGCTTTTCAATAGTTTGATTGTCTTGTGGGGTTAGACCTCGTGTCTAATGGCAGCTGCTGGCTTATAAACTCCTCTAAAATGCATAGTTGCAGCCCACCATAGTCAATTGGGTTTCTGGGTTACGCCAATATGGTCCATATCTTAATATGCAGTCCCAGGGTAGAGAATTCAAAACTCTAAAATCAGCGTATTTTAGGGGCTTCAGATATAGATATGTAGATAGATATAGGACAGACCGAAATCGCTTTCAGCTTTTTTTGATAAATTACTTGGGTAGTGGTACTCCTAAATATCTTCGGAATAAACTTTCTTCATTACCGCGACATTTTTCGCAATAACCAGCTCATTAATTATATTATATACAAAATATTTAATACAAGTTTAAGAATTATTTCCGTAATAAATAATAACTTAGGTAATTAATTGAAGTAATGTAATGTATAACTTTAACTCTACCGCCAAGAAAACAGCTATGGTGAACATCGCCGAGTTGAAAATAAAAAAAAAACATTTCTTCATTTTTTGCTGTTAATCAACGTGTAGATCGGGGCTCAACTTAAGAATGACCATTAGTTAAACTGGGTCTATCGGAAGTGGACGCCCACACTTGGGAGTCAGTTGGTATTTTTATGTTTTAATCGTGGTCCCTCTAGGAAATTGCGTAATCCCAATTTACATTTTATATTTCCATTTATTATGCCAAAATTTCCCTGTTCTTGTCATAAAGACGAATTTTCCTCGAAAGTTAAGAACCAGGTTTTACTAGCTGATGGAGGAAGATTAACCAAATTTAATGTTCCTTTGACCAAATACTACTACTAGTTGTACATAACCGATATTTTGATTTCATATTTCTATTTATCTTTCCAAAATTTGATTTTTTTCCCTTTACCAAATACTACTACTGTTTGTCCATTACTGATATTAACATTTTATATTTCTATTTCTTTTGCCAAAATTTGCTTTTGAATTTTCCTCGAAAGTCAAGTGTCAGGTTATATTAGTTGATGGAGGAGGACTAACCAAATTCAGTGTTTCTTTGACCTAATACTGCTACTAGTTGTCCATTACCGATATTACGAACTCGTGTCCAAAACCAATACCGCACAAAGTAGGCCTTATCTAAGCGTTCCTAAATTCCTGCCGCTCGCAGTAGATAACCAAGAGTGGTTTTTAATGTTTTCCAAAATGTATTCGGCATTGTTCGCGTTTGAGTAATACGGGATCAGATTGAAAGGCTTCGAGAGAAATCTAGGCGATGGCTTAAACAATTCTTTTGTTATTATATTTTCGCATTGAAGTGGCCAACCCATCCGCCTACGATCGAAATTTTACTTCGAGCTACGGGTACAGAGAGCAATCCTTTGAAGTATAAGGTTGCCAACCCCGAAAACAGGTGGATGTGTGTTAATAAACAGCAGCCCCGGCCGCTGGATAGTTCTCACAGGTCCCAAACGTTCGGGTACGTTTCCCACGCTTTTGTGCGGGTGCAGGCAAAATATTTTCGTATTCGAAGTGAAACGGCGTAAAGAACGGGCATTTTTTTAAAAGGCGAAAGTGAATCAAATTCGTAACAGTCGATTGGGCGGAGATTATTGCTTAATGGCAGAACATTGATGTCGTTTATGGTCGAGGCAATAGACGCGGCGTGCCAAAAACAAGCAAATTCGAGAGTTAATAATAATATTAAATTGAACCGAGGTGGCTTTTGCTTGATGGAAATCCATTTATCAAAATAAATAAGAACTAAAAGTTCAGATTTTCAGGAAATTATATATATTTTTACATGACAATTGTTTCGACAACATCGTGTCTTTATGAAATGTAATATTTACAAACTACCCGCTATTATACACACCAAAAAATGACAATAAAACCTTAATTATTGTTGTGAGAATTTAAGTTCAATAATTTCTCAAAATAAAATCTAATTGATCGTACATTTTGTTAATCTCCATGGCTTCCAATAAATTTAATTTTCTACTTTTTGTGGCTGTATGTAAAATATCAAAATTGTCAAAAATGTGTTTTTCTGTGTTTAAGTGTGTAGCATAATTGGGATCTAGACTATTGTTTTTAAACGCTCTTTTATGTTAAGGATCTTTAAGGATCTACCTGTTTGTCCAATATAAATTTTAGGACAAGATCCGCATTTCAACCTGTAGACACCTGATTTTTGAGATTTTGGACATTTCGTTTTATTGTTTTTTAAGAAATTTTCTATTGTGTTGTTGTTGTTGTATGTATGTAATTGTTTTAAATTGTTCGTGTTTTCTATTAGGTTTCGGATAAATAGAGTTTACTATTGTCTGGATTTTTTTTAATTTATAATTTTATCTAAAATAGACGGATTGTAGCAGTTGTTCAGTGCTATTTGTTTAATGATATTAAGTTCTTTGTTCTTTTCTGTTGAGAGTGGCGTATTAAGAAGTCTGAGTATAAAAGAGTGAAATGCAACCATTTTGTGTTCATGAGGGTGATTTGAGCTGTTATGTATGACTGTGTCCGTGTGGGAAGGTTTATGATAAATCTAAAATCTAATTTGTTTTGCGTTTTTGTAATGGTTAAGTCTAAAAAATTAATAGAGTTATCCTGTTCAATCTCGATAGTGAATTTTATACGATTATTTAATGAGTTAATGTAATTTACAAAAGAATTCAATTGTCTGTCCGTTCCAACAAAGCAAGCAAAGACATCATCCACGTATCTATACCACCATAGAAAGCTTTTACTTAGAGGATGTTCTAGTATGATATTTCCCAAATTATCCATAAAAATCTCGGCTAACAAAGGACTAAGTGGGTTTCCCATAATCAAACCTTCCTTAGAGATGTAAATCTGTCCATTAAATTCAAGATTTTTATGGATAAGTTGGAAAATATCATAGTAGAACATCCTTTAAGTAAAAGTTTTCCATGGTGGTATAGATACGTGGATGATGTATTTGCTTGCTTTGTTGAAACGGACAGACAATTGAATTGTTTTTTAAATTACATTAACTCATTACATAATCGTATAAAATTCACTATCGAGATAACTCTATTAATTTTTTAGACTTAACTATCGCAGAGGAGAACCTAGTGAAAAAGTTTCAAAACATTTGTCAAAATGTGGTTTAAAAATAGCTTTCAGAACTAACAACACAATAGAAAAATTGTTAAAAAACAATAAAACGAAATGTCCAATATCTCAAAAATCAGGTGTCTACAGATTGAAATGCGGATCTTGTCCTAAAATTTATAATTTATATTATATTTACATTTTAATATTTTACATACAGCCACAAAAAGTGGAAAATTAAATTTATTGGAAGCCATGGAAATTAACAAAATGAGACATTCAAATGATATTTATTATTTGATAATTATTTTAATTAAATTAAGAATTTTGAAATGTATGGCAACTAATTGTCCAATATTATATGAAAGAATACAGACTCCCAATTTAATATCACAACTATTTTCTAACTACTCTAACAGCGTGTTAGAGCCGAATAATACTCAGCCTTATATTTCATCTAATTACTCAAATAAGACCGTTCCAGATTTACAAGTTTTCGAAGAAATCTGCGCGAAAGATACCGCCTTCTTTAGATAAAAAAAAAATGACCGGGGCCCTTGCCGTTTTCCAAGTATTGTCCAACTTTGGCACTACCTCGAACAGCGTACATTTCCAAAATGTTGGAAAGTAGCACAAATCAAACCGATTCTAAAATCTGAAGTAGCTAATTATTTGACTATCTCACTCGTGTTATTTTGCCAAGGACTTTGAAGTCACTATTTCCACCCAATTATTTTTCTTGGTATAAAATGGCATAACATGGATGTCACAAGGAACGTTCGGTACTTACAGACTCAATTCGTTTTAATTTTCGTTAATTTTTCATAACCCCACTCTGCTAAAAAGCTTGTAGACTTCTCAATTTGTTGCTTTATGCGAATATGACGTCTGGAGTCCCTCAAGGGTCACACTTGAGACGTTTACTTTTTAATATTTTTGTATTTGATATTGGCAACTCCAGAGTACTCTCGATGCCCAGTAATACAGTTGATACAGGCTTGAGGAACGTTGGTTTTGTATTACGTAACACTAAAGGCTCTATCAACCATAATTCAGTCATTTTAATTAATTGGTAATAGCGTGATCAGATCAATACTCTTCCACTGGATGGAATCAGATCTAACGCAAGTATATCGGTCGGATAGAGAGTGTCCAAAGAATGTTTTTCGGAAACCTTACTTATATATAACAGACATATACTAATATTCGTATAAAAGTGCAGAAATAGCTCAGAAGTAAGTTTTCTTTATAAAATTGTTAACTTTCACCTTCTTGTGCAAGTTTAATGCTAGGCCTTTTCAGGTTTAACTACGTTTCAAAGTCTCCGCTTATTTGATGTATTGTATTTTATGTATAACAACTGTGTTTTTCTGAACAGCGAAAATACAGACTTATTTTAAATTTTGTAACATTAATTAAATACTGAAGTTTATCTAAGTTTCTATTGTATTTTCGACTATGT